GAACAGAAAATTCGGTTTTGGCTTTTTTTTTGGGGGGGAAAAAAAAAAAAAAAAAAAAAAAAAAAAAAAAAAAAAAAAAAAAAGAAAGAAGTAAATAAATCAAAAAAAAAAAAAAATCTGAAAATGTAAATAAAGGGAGGTTTGAATTCACACAGCTGTGCAGGGCTACCTTTACCAGGAGACTTTGGTCACTTTGATGCTCGATCATGGCTTTGAAAAACAAAAAACAACCGGAATTGAGATAAAAATGGCCAATGAGGAGTAAAAAAAACCCACCAAGAACAACACAGTTTCCTGGAATCAGAGTTATGACAGTTACTGGAGGGACGACGTGTTTCAAATCTGTGGAAAACGTACAGATGATTGTCTGTTGTCCTTAAAATGATAAAAAAATAAAATATAAAAAGGTTTTGCAGTCGAGTAAAACTCCAGGACAGCACCTACATTCAGAGGAGGTAGATCATGGCAATGACACAAGGTGAAAAATGAAAAACATTCAAAAATGTGTCAGAGGAGGAGAAAGGGACGAGGAGCCGGAGGAGGAGGAGCTGAGCTGTGTGTCAAACTGTAGTGCATAATGTAATTTGTTCCAAAAACATTTTTAAGGCCAAATAGGAGCTTCGCTAGATCTGATCCGCCTTAAGACAAAGGTGCAGGGGGGAGGCGGGTGTGGGACGGGGGACACAGTAAACAGATAAAGCCCTTTATGGCGATACCTGAGTCAACAGTCGTCCGATACCACAGGGCATGGCGGGATGTTCACTGCTCTGGACACAGAAGAATACGCTACAGCTGAGAGAAGCTCCCTCACCGTGACTGCTGATTTGCATATAAACGACTGATCCCACTGGTCACCATTACTGCCATTCCACAGCAGGAACCAGGAACTGATTCAAGAACCAGGAACCGTGTTCAGCTTCTGAACGACCAGACAGTTAAACAACCAACAGATGGCGCTGACAATACACAACTTAATTTGGACGCAAGACATCTTGTAGCATATTTTTAATTGAGCAGATTGAGTAATAATGAATGAAAAATCAACTAATCAACCAATCTTTGTGCGTCATATACTGTGGCATTGTTTGTTATTGTCCTCTACCAACACAGACAACAGAATACAGGTAAGAGCATGTTTTTTTCTGGCTTAGGTTCAACAAAATACAGCCCTTAAATATTATGGACACAAGTTTGTATACGAGTGCAAAGCACCATGGGTAAGAAGCTTGGGTTTGCTGACCGCTGCCCAAGGCCAAAGTCACTGCAGTGATCTTTGTACACTGCTTCCTCACAAAATCAATTGTTTGAGAGTAGATAATGGTGCTACTGCCATCTGCTGGAATGTAGTGGAATATCTTGGTCTGCCTTTCACTGTGGTTGATACACCACTAGTCGTGCCAGGGAGAACTGTTTTGTTTTTTGAAAGTCGTTCCTGCTACTGAAGTTCCTGGAACTCTGCAGTGAAAACACAGCATCGTGGTTTTGTTCTCCATCAAACTCCTTTGTTACAACAGACTCAATCAGTTAATCTGGTTATGGCATTTGCACAGCCTGTTCATTCAAACCCTCCCGAAAAAAGGGGAAAAATTACAAAAATTTTATTTGAAATATATATGAAGTACATTAAGAAAAAAAAAGGTCAATGCAGCATATATCAGGCTTATGAGGTACTTCATGAATATATATAGATATATCAACCTTTTAGAAAAGCTCTTCAAAGTCATATTATTCCTTATAATTCCTAGTGACAGCATAAAATACCTCGTCTGTTATTTTTTTTTTAACTCTGTCCCAACTCACATGGACGACTTTTTGAGACTGCTTTGAAAGTGCAAAAAACACAAATACTGATCGTTCTATGCAGCATCTACACATACGGTTGCGTGATTATTTTAAAAAATGGAAAAATGTTACAAGTTGCTCAGCAGATTCTTTTTTGTTTTGTCACACCTTTATGAAGAAAGGACTCGGAAACTTGATGATCCCACGAAAAAGGCACAGGTAATACATACTACTTACACACTGGATGTTTTCAGTTTGGATTAAAGCGACAGCGATCTGACGCTAACTGCCCACAGAACCTTTGATGTACCTTACACTGAGGTTTACAACGACTGGATACGTGTGTCAAACAAATGTGTAAATTCCCTTTGTTACATCGTTACAGGCAGAGGTTGACGGCGACCTCTGAAAAAAACATTGACTTTGCGTATGGATAACTGCAGTAATGTGGATCGGAATCACCCGGGTTTTATTGCAGTAGTGGGGGTACGAGGGCATTAAAATGAAGGAGTGGCTTGGTGTGAGAAAAGAAGCCTTGAAATTGTCCACGTCCTGGCAAAAGGGAAACAGAGAAAAGCTGGTTTCATCCATCGATCTACTACAAGTATTTTCTGTGTATGACGCCTCTTTAGAGTTACCTTAAACTGTGTTACGAGGACAGACAAATGTAAAGACAATTACCAACATTACACTTTGACATTATTGCTGTACATACGTCTTTCCACAACACCTGCAATCACCACAACAGACAAACCTCAGCGTCACCTACGACGATCTGACACAAACACATGCCACCGGACGTCCATTCAGTCCACAAACCTCAGTCAGCTGACGTCACTCTATCACTGACTCTAAACATCGCCTGCTTTGGCTACTACGCGTTACAAACTGAAGGGCTTGGTCCACTAATGCGTATTGACAGAAGAGCAGTGTTTTTGTGTAATGTTTATTGGCTTGTGTTTGTTTGGTCACTTTTTTTTCTTTTAAAAAGTTTGTTGCAATTACTTTACATCAGGAATATCACGTAGCACCTGACACTGCTCTGAGGTAGTTTTCCCAGGTTGTTAAATGAAATGCCAAATCACTGGGAGTGTTTGAGATGCTTAATAAAATGGTCATAATTGTGGTGCGTTACCGGTGGCATGTAAACACACCCTGGTCTGATGACGATCGGTAGCTGTTCTACTGAGGTGGACTGAAATCTACAACAGACAGAACAATACCACAAATGACCACTGGATGCAGCGTTGTCACATTATGTCAGTACTAGCCTGGTGTAAAACTTTGTCATGGACCACACACACACACCTAAGAGTGTGTGAGCCTGTTGGGGAACCAACCACTCCTAGCTGCGACTCAAATTCTGGTTGGATTTTTTATTTTGGAGAAAATCTGTCTTAATAAACAACAACATGTAGTTTTCATTATGCTTCCACTATAGCAACATTAGCATTACAAAACACGAAAAAGGTGCACATGGGCAGGTGGGTGACAAATCTATATAACAACAAATATTTTGCCGTTATTAAAAGTCACTAAGAGAGAGAAAAAAATGCCACAAAAAGTGTAGAGTTCCATCAGACTGATGAGGTACAGGCAGACGTTTCAGATCAAACAGGCTCAGAGTTGATTTGACGTTTGTTTCTGACGACAGGAATTTAAATTATATTGGTTCTTTGTAAAGGGACAAAACCCCAAGTTTAAAGTTGGGACTGGTATTTCAGACCTGAATTGAAACACTGACAACTGATATGTGATTTTGCCTAAAGACATTTGTCCAAGTGCAGCAAAACAGCCAACGTGTGGTCCAATATTGAGTCCAGTTCAAAGTTAGCTATTTTTGTCCAAATCTCACCTTACGAACTACAAGCCCACAGCATTTATGCCAATATCCTGCACTGAAAGCAGCGCCACCATCAGGCATTTGATTCTATATACACCTCCTTACTGCTGCACAGCACTACGACTGTGGACAACCTGACGGCTCAATGCATCGCACTCACACAGACACACACTTTGGCATCACGTCTCCGACACACATTACTGTTCATAACCAGCCATTTTCAGGCTCCCCTCACAGGTTCAGCTGACGCCTGTTTTTTTCACTCCTGTTTAAAGGCAAACCTCACGGCTACATCTAGTACTTTTGTTGAAATTTCAAGGCATTTGGATCCTTTTGACAAATCAGTAGCAGGGCTGCTGGTTAGTTTGAAGCTCTAACGCACTGTTTTCTGAACATTTTTGTTGCAAATAACTGCTTAGTTGTGAGGAGACAAAAAAAGAAGAAGAATAAAATAAATAAAATAAAAGCTGTCCATGCTACTACCCGATTATACCCTCAAATGCTGCAGCAGCTACAAGGTTGGTTCTTGCTTAGTGCAACTATAACGTTGACTAATGTTTTGAAATTCAACTCCAGGAAAAAGCAACGCCGTCCTCTTCTGGTATTTTAAGGTGCTGGTACAGGTTAAAAGGTCACAGGGTACAGTGACAGTAACAGGTAAACACGTCTCCTCAAAGATGCCCTGATGTTTGGAATTTTGGTGAGTAATATTTTGTGACAGTCAAAGGATTACTACATGTGCTACCTCCTCAAAGACGACCACCAACTAGAGCGACTCCACCCAGCATCCCTTTAAGATACATATGAAGACTGACCACAAAACAACAATTACTCTGGAAATATATTCACATCTCTAATTCCCTCAGCCACTGACTGAACAAAGAAGAGTTTTTTCTTATCCAGTTACTGTAAGAAATGTTCCAGGTTACATGTTTAAAGGCCCTATTCGACTAACAGTCTCACTGGCAGCACCACGACTTTTACTATTTGTCCATTTCACTGGTGCATAGAATTAAAAAACAGGAACAAAATTAGGGAAATTTGTGCGAAGACCACACTTATAGGAATTTGGTTGTACAGCTTTGATGCTCAAAACCACAAAGAGGGGGAAAGAGACAGACTCTCTAATGAGTAAACGATGACAAATCACAACTACGTAAACTAAGGAAATCACATCCGCTAAACCTTCCTCGCAAACTTTCAGAGCCTCGACTGCCGGCGGGAAGCTGGGGCTGCGACAACTGGGTGGCTAGCAAAGGTAATTATACAGAAATGGCCAGTGGTGTGATGTTACCATTCCACTTAAACAGGTAACAAGAGGTAGAACACACGGCCATTTCCATATAATTACGCCAATGTCGCGCGTGTTTTGCCCAAGCCTCCAGGATTCGTTTGAGGAACGCACATATAAAAGGCGCCAATGCCAACGTTCTGCGATTTAAAAAGTGCATCCAAGTTTACTTGTTGTGAAACCAGCACCGAAAAGAACATTTGACATCATAACAGTAAATATCAAGTACATGATTTTTTTC